CGGGGGCGCGGGCGGCGGCGGGTGGGCTGTGCGCCCTCCTCTGCCGGGAACTGCCTTGGCCCAGCGCCGCGGCGCTCCAGGCCAGAGCCTCTTCCTGTTGCCGGCTGTATGGCCGCCCGCCCCCCCCGTCCTTCCACGGGACGTGTTCATACGTGGGGGTATCTGAGAGGCACCGTGTGTTCTTGAGAAACCCTGCGTTCCGAGAAAGTGTAAAAAACACAGTTCAAAAGGTGCTGAGGATGCCCTTTCCTTGGCCTCGTTGCAGGGTTGAAATAGAGTACTGCCCAGATAAACTCCCGGTTTATAGCATCTGTGGTGACCTCAGTGATTTCCCACTGTCTCCTGTTCTCCTCTGTCTTCCTTCCAGCCACGAGGCCGCTGCCAATGACATGGATAGTACCTTGCCAGCAGTAGCAGAAGAGCTTTTGAAAGAGATCAAAAAGGCTTTTCGGGAGACCTCACATGGTACGTAAAGAAAAACAGAACCATCCCAGCAGGCGGTGGGCCAGTAATACTGGCACTGTCAGACCTTCAGGTAGCAACGAGGGTTGTCAGGCTCTCCTTGCTTGCATCTTCTCCATACTCTGTTGCATAAGGGGTGGCCTTCACTTTCAGGAGTGGCAGAGTAAGATGTTGAGGCAGCCTTTTCTTGCATGCTTTTAAAAGTAGGATATTATAAAAATAAGTATATTTGGGCTTCCACATTCCTTTTTAAAATTAATCCCAGTGGTTCTGAGTGTATATTTAATTGCTGTATTTGATACAACTTGTCTGGACACAAAGGGGTTTGAAGCACAGGTAACGAGGAGCAGCCCCCTTCTAAAAGTCAGGCCCCTCCAAAAATTAGACCAGGTTGGACACTTTTTTGAACATAGGACCTGGGGCAATGCTGCTTGCTTAGAGCTTGTAGTATAAGGGGTTGCACTTGAGGGATGATAATTTACATACTTCTAGGTAGGCATTTTGTTGTGCCTACTGTACTGCTGTTTTTATAGACTCGCTAATTTAAAAACCAGAGTTGAAAGGGAAATCTTCATAAAAACGATCATGTTTCATCACTGACCGGCAGAGGGTGTTGTGTTAGTGATCCCAGGGCAAAGAACAACTTGCCTGTTGCTTGAATGAAGCAAGCATAAACCAACAGTTAAATCTTGGCCAATTCTAGCAGCTAGTTAAGAACAATTACTTTCATTGCACTCTGGATTACTAACATAGTTCTGTAATCTGAATGGTTCTTCCTAAGGAGAGTGTCTATTTAAGGAATATTTTAACTGCACTAAACCCAACCAAATAAACATTCAGAGAAATCTGTTTGAGTACTACATTTGAGTGGAAATGGGCAGAGACTTGATGTTTTAACTGTCAGAGTGACCACGTTGACAGCTTTCTAGCATACTTGTAGTATGGCTTCTGTCAGGTTGCAGTAGATCTGAAATCTACATGTGACTCTTTAAAAGAGCTTTATAAATCCTGTTGTAACCAAAAAAAAAAAAGTCACCATTCCTTTTAAGGTATACTTCTCCTTAAAGCACCAAAATAGTACACTGGGGCATAACTGCAAAAAGAAACTGATCAATCGCATTGGAGAATTAAATTAGAATAAAGTTGGAAAAGTCAAACCAACAGCATAAGTCATAGAGAATATTTTGAATTGTTGGAACAAAGGATTTTAAAGTCAAAAGTCCTGATCTTCCAGTGGAATACAGCGACGTAGTACGCTGTGTCCCATTAGCAATAACAGAAAGATCAGACTGGTTGATCAGAGACTAAGCTGTTAGCTCCAACAAACAGATGAATTTTCTTAAGTGTAATTTTCCATCTTAACAACAAGTTCTAATAAGTGAAGACATTATGTTTCTGTGTGCTGTATTAAAAGCTATAAACTAGTGGCGCCCTGCAAGGCTATACTGGGAAAAGAACAACATTTTTAAAGTTTTGATGCCAGAGTTTTCAACTCATGCCAAGAGAGTTTCAGGGAAACCAATATATATATTTTTAACCAACTTCTTAAAGTGACAGAGTAAGATGTTGAGGCCTCATGCCTTTTGTTGCATGCTTTTAAAGGTAGGGTATTATAAAAGTAAATATATTTGGGCTTCTGCATTTATTTTTAAAATTAATCCCTGCGGTTCTGAATGTATATTTAATTGCTGTACTTGATACGTGCCTTAGCACTACCATAGCAGATCATTTTGCTGCTCCTTGTTGCTTTTTGGTGGCTAGAGAGGATGGCTAGAGCATTGCAGTCCTGTGTGGCCTCTGAGGGAACATTAGGGAGACACTAGCCTCCCTGTGATGTTGATACCTCTCACAGTGGGGAAGTTCAGCAAAATCATGCTTCATTTTCTTTTTGTTGCAGTCCCTGATGACCTGCTGCTGGGGTAAGTATCTTTTGCTTCAGCTCTTGTCCCAAGTGTCCTGCTAATGGGCAGCTGATAATCTGCTCTCATCATAGTACCACTATTTTTGCCCTGTGCTTGACCAGTACGTGCTTCTCATGCAGAATTGCTACGTGTTTTTGCTGGTAGTGGAAATGAAGGTCCAAAGAGACAATCTATCTCGAGCATTTTTCCAGAGATTCATGAAATCATCTCTGTATTGCTTAATCTCCTGTGATGACTTGCTCTAATTTGGGTGGATTAAACATGCAGAAACCCAGAATGTTTAACCTGAGCTCTGAATCCACCCTTAGATCTGGAATGAGTTTTCTGTGAGCGTGGATTGTGTTTCAGAGTGATTCATGCCGCTGGAGTGCTGCATCTCCGCTGCATTCATATCATTGTGAGCACAGCAGCATCCTGAGATCCCTTCTTCTGCTTGAGTCATAGGCACATGTGATAGAAAGGGAGAAGTGAATGTAGCATCTCTCTGCACAAGGGAATTGTTAACTTGAAGATTACCCTGAGAGTTTTCTTCTGTTTAGAGGAAATCTCAGGTCAGCTTCATCGTCCTTGCATTGATTGAAGCTTGTGAATATTTCAGACATTCCCAAGTAGTCTCCTAAGAGATCCAAGTTTCACAGCTTCTGCAGCCCTCGCTAATTGGTGTTGGAGGTAGAGAAAAGGCACCATCACAGTAAGAAAGGCTTTTCAGATTAATCTTGAACTTCGTGTTCTTGCCTGCCTGTAATTTAGCCAGGAGAGGAGATCACCAGGAACCCTTCAGGCCTTAATATCTTTGGGTCTAAAGTTATCTAACATAACACTCGTGAAAGGTATGCATGCTGGCTCCCTCTTCTGGGACCACAACGGACTTTGAAGGGTGGGATTGACAAGTCTCGTAACTTTTTGTTTCCTTCTTGTCATAAAAGAAAAGAGGAGGAAAGAAATTCCCTTGTTAAGTTTAATAAAGTTTGGGTGGTAACTCTTGGCAGTCAGATTTCCATCAATTCCCTGTGACCAGTGGCACAGAATCAGAAATATTCTGATTTAATTTCTGAAGTTCTTCCAAATCTCTAAAGTCCTTGAATTTCCTTTGAGCATTTCCTGTTAGAGTGATCGAATTATATAGACAAAAAAAAATTCCCCAAATTTGAAGGAGTTACTGAAACTCATTAAACTCAGCCCCTTTATAGTCCAAAACCTAATCATTAAGGAATGTCTTACGTTGAGTGTTCCCCCACCCACCTCCGCTCAGTCCTCAGATGAAGCCAGTCCTTATTGCCTTGAGTTTGTGTAACTGAAGTTTTGGTCTTCCTGGAATAAGTCCGTCTGCTTGGCTTGTTATCAATGAGATTGACTGAGACGCATAGGTCAGCCATGCTGCTGAGACGCCAGGGCTCTGCCTTGGCTTTGTGTCTTCACTGGAATTGGAAATGTTCCTCTGCTTTCTCCTCTTCTCTTGCTCATGTTTTGTACTATCTTTTCATCACTGCTGATTTTCTTGTTGTTTACCCTTGTAACTAACCTAGACTACACAGATTTTTCTCAGCAGATAAAAGGTCTGTAAAGTTAACTGAGTTGCCCCTGAGCTCTTTGGAACACATTCAGAGCAGCTGGATATACAGGTCTAGAATAACTTTTAAGCCTATGAGGTGTCTGGACAATAGGCTAAAGGTACAGATGTCCATATTTGACATACAGCTTATCATATACCCTTACACGGCAGGGGATGTGCAGACAATGAGTATGTGGATGGAAATTACTGCGCCTTCAGGCATTCACAGCTCTTTTTTTTTTCCACTTGCTGGTGTGGAATTTTACAGCACTGAGCGCAGCAGCCAGACACCAGCATGTGCCTCCATGGTGCTGCCTCACAGGACCGAGGCCAAGGAGAGAGTTGTGTAGAGGCCGTGTTTTGCAGGAAGCAAATGTATACCTGAGCAAACCTGGCTAACCTTGTCTTTACCCCATCCCAGGCACTCTCTGATCCATAAATGCTGTGCAGTGGTGCATCGCTGCATGGTGAGGTGTCCTGCTTGGAAGGAAAGGAAAGGGAAAGGGTTTTTAGGGAGGGTGGAATGACATAAGGCATGTGCTGTCCCTGGGTAACATGGGAATACTAACAAATATTCCCCACAGGAATACTAACAAAAAGGCTGATCAGATCACACTAAGGACAACCTGTGTCTCTTGCTTGACTTACACTCCCTTTGCAATAATCAGTGACCTGTAAAGGGACTGTCAAGCCAGAAATGCTTCTCAAAGATAACTCCTCACCTGCGTGGTTAACACTGTGTCACAGTCATAGAGACTGACTAAAAAAATCTCACTTCTCTGTCTCTGATGCACTTTGTCTCATTTTAGTTCAGGACAGGAACCGCTTCATGTCCTGTTTGTGCAGCAGGCAGCCAGAATAGCGTCTGGGTCATAGTGCTGAAGAAGAAACACTTAAGCTGTAATGTGCTGTGTAAGGAAAATCTTTTAAATGCCTTGTAATTAACTCTGAGTGGGATTTTGCAAAGAGATGTGGGACTGTTTGGGAACAGCTTAGAAATTTGGAAGTTCTCTTAAGAATATCAAAAACCATGTAGATGCTCTGAATAGCTGGCAGAGTAGAGGCTGTCCTTAAGGATCTGTCTTCCAGGAGAGCGATTGTCAGCTGGGATTGTCTCAGAGGGACAGGGCAGGGATTGGTGGTCACTTGGTAAAAGACCGCAAAGCTGAGAATGACAAATGCACTTCATTGCTTCGTAGTATAATTAATGGAGCTGTAACTGGCGGGATTTTGAGAGGCAGTGGGAACCTTCTGGCCTCCACAGGGCTAAATCCCATGGATTAAGGCTAAACCCGGTGGTCTCCTTTTGTGGCATGACCTAACTAGAGACATGTTCTTTTTCAGGCTGAAGTTCATATTTGGCCCATCTGCTGTCCCAGCTTTGGATTTGGTGGATCAGCGTTCTGTCACCCGAGTCATGTCCCCCAGTGGAAGGACTGCATACCAGGTACACACCTTTTTCCTTTTCAGTCTTACTTTCTGATGTTTTCCAGTTGACATGTGAGCCAATGTTTTCCTAACTTGCAGAACATGGAAGGGCACTCGGATAAACACGGAGAGAATATCAGTGTTTTACAAACTCCTAAAGTGATACTGGAGAGCAGTAGCCACGGACTAGAATTAGAACAGCGTGGTACTCTACCGTTTTCTTTGTGGCTCCCAGCCAGCCAGAGATGATTTCTTAAGTGTTTGTGGGTATTGTGATCAGAAGGAAGTTTTCCAGGGATTGCTAATTTTGCTTTATTACTTTCATCCTATCCAGCAAAGGCAGTTCTTCCTCTTGACAAACTGTACGCAACGGAGTGTTATCTGCCATCACTGCATTTCTTTCCCTGTTGCACTCCAAATCCTCAGTGTCCTAAACATTCTTGACCTCTACTTGGTGATAGGATCCTTGCTGCCTGGGAGGAAGCAATGCAGGCCAAATCTGTGGGTTTCATTCTAGTTCACTGTAGCCAAGTCTGTGAATCCCATTTCATAAAATGGCATTTTAGGGAGAAGAGCTCACTTTAGCCCTAAAGATCAAACTCCTCTTACAGCACAGGATCGGAGATGGAGCTGAGGCTCATTAGGTGAAGAGAGGAGCCATTGGCACTTCTTTCTGACTTTTCTGTGGTATGGGCAATTCCTTGCTCTACTGTGCCACAGCACTGGTGGCATCTCTGTTGGGGACAGTCTGGTCTGTAAGCCATTGACCAGCTGCATCCAGCCCATAGGGTCACAGAGTCAGAGAGGCGCGGCGTGCTGTGCCCTAGCTAAGGCTGTATAAGCAGTGGGACCCTGTGCCCATAAGACTTCGGTGAAGAAGCAACCAATTCCTTCTACTTAGCACTACTAACCCACTCAGATAGCACAGCCCCCTCCGTTGCTGAACCTGGTGCTGTGCTTTTTCACACACCAGAGAAGGGGGAAATCTCTTTGCTTGCTGTTGCAGCAGCCATGAGGAACATTTCCAAATATCCTCCCTGCAAAGGGCCTTCTCTCCTTCACTGGTGGTGCTGAGATGCTTTGGGGTCATCTAGGGTAAGAGAAGAGCTGTAAAGCCAGGCCTGGGTAATGACACAAACATTTTTCACGTGTTCAGAGCTTGCATTACTTGATAGCACGTGGAGTCTTTATGGCTTCTGGGGCCTTGGAGAGGACATCGGCCCCTCTAGAGAGGCATGATTCATAAACATACAGGGCTCAAGAATACAGCCTTTGATTTGAGTTGAGGGCTTGCCTATGCCTATTTGGTAAAGCCTAAGAAGTGCTGCTTCCAGGACCCTTAGACAGCAGCTACCTCAGTAATTGAATGCTTAAAGGCTTTTCCTTTTTTACTGTTGCTTGGCTGAATATGCCACTGGGCAGAGAATGGTCACATTCTCCTTGCAGAGCTTTGTTGGGCCATGCAGACTAAGGCAGAGCTTTGCAGTCTTCACTTAGCACCCTTTTGTGTGAAGGATGAGGGGGACTGCTTAGAGCCTCTGGTCTTCCTAGGGAGCCTAAATGTATGCTCATATGCTCACAGCTTTTCTGCAGCATGGCAGAGTTATCTGCATGGTAAAAGAGGCCTGATATTCATCTCAGATGCAGGAAACCTTATGAGACAAGGAGAAGATCAGAAAAGCATGGCTTTGATATGCTGCATGCTGCCCTGACACCCTGTTCTGGTCTGGGCAGGGTCGTTGCTGAACAGTGCCTCAAACTGCGTGTGCTGCAGCAAGGCAGGCACCCCTCCACACCGCCCAGTCCTCTCCCCACTGAAGCAAGGAGCCAAAAATTCCTG